GTAGAAGGGCGTAACCCAGCTCCCACCTAGCGGTCACCACGAGGATGCGGCCAGGACAGGAGATCATGGCACACCAGTAGCAGAAGTATGTAGACCTTCTGTCAAGATCTAGCCACCACCAGTCTCAACGCACTATGGATACTGATTTCAAACCAACACCGGTCCGTTGACCGAGATTTTTCCGGTGCGTTAGGTATGAGCCTGGTTGACCTTGGGTCCAGCACCTTTAGATTTTTGAGGCAGCTGTTTGAGTGAGCGAGATTAACGTGCTCCGCTGGATTGCACGCGAGCAACCGTACCTTCATTGCATTTGAGTAATTACGTGATGGAGAAAATATCCCTACCGAGAACCGTTGAATACTTGAACCACTTTGTTGTGATGCGCTGTCGATGGGTAAAAACCGAACTGCGTAGCGAGCAAAGCTCTATTTACATTAAGAATAAAGCGCTATTTTTGTGCTACAGAAACAGAGTGTCCCAGTAGTGCGTTCGGCATCCACCTCCTTGGCCTTGTATCTCATCGCCTCCTTCCGGTCGTGCCATCTAACATCGCCTAAGCCGTCCTGACCATGGCGTTCAAACGGTTGCCTCTCCCGCGTTCTTCCTCGACTTTCGGCCAAACGACTTCCCAGTCTCAAATAGCCACCCCGTTCTCACACTTTTGCCTGGCATTCGTTAGCACAGCGTTGGTAAACCAGCTCACAGGATTCGGCTATGGCGACAAGCTCCACGTCCGACCCAATATCTTCTCCGTGTTCTCACAGTGGCTCGGCATTCGTCGGCATAGTGTTAGTGGAACGGCTCTCAGGTTTGGCATCTCACCCTAGATTTACTTTTGATATGCAAGGATAATTTCCACTTTTTGTTTGTAGGTGAGTCTTACCGACAGGTGGGCAGCGTTGCTATGCGAAGTCCACTCTGTCCTACCCTAGCAGACATCTACTTGACAATGGTCGAATCAGGTTATGAATCACGGCATGATCAAAAGTGTCTGTACAAGGGGCAAGTTGATGACCCATTGGTGATCGCCCCAAACATCACTGCCGTCAAATCTCCTCTCGAGACGATGAACCACCCACACTCGAATGCCCACTTTAGATGTGAGCTGGAGAACAACGACTGTATCGCCTTTTTGTGTGTGCTACTGACAAGAAATACAGATGACTCGATACCGCGATATGTACATTGAAAACCTCCTTGGACAGGATTACACGAGCAGTCTACTAGCTTCACGCCTATTGAGCGACGTACAGCCATCGCTTTTCGACGGACATTTAGTGCTGCCAATCTATGCCGTCTTTGGACTACCACGAACTTATCAACGTCTCCGGTAAGCTTACCCAACCGATCTCCACCACGTTGCATTTACCAATTTGTCTGTAGCTGCGGAAGCCGTTACACCGGCAGAACAGCTCAGAGTCTGCGTAAGCAGGTAGAACATATTCCGACATGGGCTGGGTCCGCTAGGAGGACAGTTTTAAAATGCCGACCCTATCGATTGCTAAGCACCAGTTCATCCAATTGACCAAGACGTGGCGTTTACGATTATCCACTCGCAATCAAACGCCAAAATACACAAGCTCGCTGAGGTCGTAGTACTAAATCGCAACCGCCCTGACCTTTGTGTGCCAAAACACACAAGCATCCGTGTGGACCGGAACATCTGTTGCACCACTTGTGATTCTGCTGTAGCCAGTGACATTGTATGCCTCCTCAATCTTTCGGTCAGCAGTCAGACTATTGATTCTTTCCTCCAGTGATCGTTTACTATGTTGTTGGTTTGCATGTGATCAGAGAACGCGAAATGAAACCGCCTTGCAACATCCGTCTTCTCATTGCATTACATAGAACAATAAAAGAAACGCAATGCTTCAGATTAAGAATGAGTTGCTTACACTGTGAGTCGTTCCGCACTGAGGCGATTTCATCACAAGACTCGACAGATTACCTTCAGTTGCAAATGGAAGAGAGACCTGAACATACGGCAGTGCTCTTTTACTGGCTGTGGAGAGGTAAGGACAAAGAGGTATGGCCACAAACTGTCGTGTGCAAGTACTTTGCTTTGTTTTTGCCCTCGATTCGCTTATCCTACTCACACCTCTATTTAGCTCTCGGTGGCCAATCATGTGATCTTGCATTTGATTGGTTGCAACTCTAACCGCTATCGATTTAATTGTACTGCGCGTGAGCAGGTAGTTTTCCCTATACAAACGTTCCTGCGTTGCGCTGATCTGCTGCTTTTTCGGGATACAACAAATTGGCGTCGCGTGTTACCGATGTCTTTGCATGCTATTGCCCCTGCACCGTTCTGGATTGACTCTGCGGGTACCCCAAATGCAGAATGCTGGGAAGATTGGAAAATTAGTTTTTCAGATTATATTTCTGTGCTACCAGTTCTCAATCCATGCGTGACGCTGTAAACAAAGGATACTTTAAACCTTATACGCTTGAACATAGGCTCAGAGAGTCGGTGTATGTTTAATGCTCTAAACCTACGGGAGAAATCCACGTTGACAGAGGCCTTATTATCCCTTGATAAACATTGGCGTGTTCGAGTGAACACCTATACTTCTCGGTACAATTTTTCACGGCTGAAACAAGTATCTGCTGAATCAGTGGATGCATTCATTTCCCATCTTGTTTGTTCTGTTCGAAAGTGTGAATACGATAGTATTCCCAAGAAAACAGTGGCAGAAGCTATGCCAATACAACAACTGATTTCTGGTCTTAGGGATTCTCGGATCAGAGAGTCCCTTAATGGAGAACGTAGAAAAGCTCACATGGAACAGGGCCTGTGACGTGGCTCGCGCGAAGGTCGCAGTTACGGAACAAAACAACATTTTCCTCTGTAGCACAGGAGCTACTGAAATTGACCGTTTGAATTCTGCACGTTCTCTGACGCTATCCTCAGTTAGAAACAAGTGTTACCGCTGTGGAAATACTGAACCTCATGCAAATGATGAGTCATGTCCTGCAAAGAGTGAAATCTGCCGGAATTGCAGTAAGACCGGTCGTTTTACTCGGGTTTGTCGTTCCCGCGCCATCTCTTTAGTTGATTCTGCAAATAACTCCAGTGTTTCTCCGGTCACCATTGAACAATCTAGATATGTTGTTCATGAATGCGAACATCTAGTTTCGTCTCCAACTCAAGAACCCAAACTGCCTTCGCCAGATATTCGTCGTGTCATTTTGAAGTTAGAAACAAAACCATTTCTCTAGACATAGAACTAGATTCCATGTCATCAATCACAGTTGCGCCATACTGTTTATACAAACAGCATTTTGGTTGGCTAACTGCACATTCTTCCGCTTATACTTTGAGTAGCTATTCCAATGTTGATGTCCATATACTCAGTTTTCTTACGGTTTCAATGTTTCTGAGAAACAGCAGGAAGCGTATCGTTGAAGTTTACGTCTCTAAAACTGCTTGTTCATTGTTCTATTGGGAGGCAATGCCATGGTCTTTATGAACGTATCACCATGCGTCAGCCGGTGGACATTACAAGCGTCAACCTTAATTTGTTACGGTCCAGTTACCCAAATCTCTTTCTTCCGGATATTGGAAGAGTCCCAAAAGCAGTGCACGGCATTCGGTTGAGCGCGGATTACAAACCGTTCAGCATTTCACAATCTAGGCCTGTACCTCTGGCCAAACGAGAGGCGTTGTCGCAAGCCTTGGAAAATATGGTCACGGAAGACTTGATAGAACCCATACAGTGATCTGAATGAGTTCATCCACTAGTTGCCGTTCAAAAGAAAGGTGCCTCTATTCGTCTATAAATCAAGCTTCTAGCGGTTACTCGACGCGTTGATGGTTAGGCTTTCAAACGCCAAGCATTTCTCAAAGCTAGATAGTCGCAGTGCATACGACCACATGTCACTGACTCCACATTGCCGACATTTGACTGCTTTCCTCACGCAAGACGGATTGTAGCAATACAATGCGCTACCAATGGGCCTTAGTAGTGCCTCAGCGGCTTGGCAGAAATTTATTTCTCTGCCATTATCAGATTTCAAAAGATGTGTTGTGTGGATAATATTTGTGTCTTTGGTGGTAACCCCACTGAACATCAGGAAAACCTTCCTAATGTGCTGCATAGAGTGAATAAACTAAATCTCCGCCTGAATACCAGCAAATGCCAATGCGCCGTAACGGAGGTCGAGATTATTGGACATGTGCAGAACACCAGATCCATTTTCGATTGTTCTACACGGATGAAACATTTCTTAGGTTTGTGTTCTTATGACCTTCGAGATGTACCGAATTTTGCTACTATTGCTGAACTGTTACAGAGATTGTCGCGCCAAAACCAGGAGTTTCGTTTGGCTTTTAACCAAGACAATGCCTACATGACCATACGAACGATGACCGAATCTACTCCCACGGTAGCGATCTTCAATGAGCACGCCCTAACGTTTGTTTCAACAGATGCTTCAGATGTTGGCTTGGGTGCAGTTCTGTCCCAACTGCGCGATGTCGAGGAAAAAGTGATTGCGTACGCATCACGTACCGTATCTGATGCTGAAAGAAATTATTCTACCGGCGACAAGAAGGCCCTCGCATGCGCCTGGCATGTGAGATATGGCACTTTTACTTATTCCGACGTCGATTCACCTTGCGCACCGATCCTTCTGCTCGTATAACGCTACTAAGTCGTGGTAGCAAAGGCTAGAAGCCGGTACCCTTGCGTAGCTGGTACTCACGTCTATCGAACTAGTATTATTAAAGAAAATACGTGCCAGGATGGCTTGGTCAAATTGCAGAATCCCTGTCGACACTCACTGTCAAACGAAGGGGAAAACAATGACATAGAGGAGGCAAAATTGATATCTCAGCTCTAAGACGGAAGAACTACAATATCACTTGACCTGATAGGACAGCACAAAGACAAAGAACTTGTCCTAGCGAAGTTTCGGGAGTACATATCCACTTCATGGCCTAGTCGTACCAATGTCCAACCTGAGTTATTTCCATACTATACCCTACGGCATGAGCTTTCTACTGTGAGCAACTGCATTATTAGAGGCGAGCAGTTTGTGGTCCCTGCAACCATTATTTCTCTGGTGGTTGCATATGCGCATGAACGTCATCCAGGGATTACGCGAACAAAAGCTCGGATAAGACAATACTATTGGTGGACGAAGTTGCATTCAAGTGTCGAGACGGTTATTCGGGTATGTTACGTCTATCAACAATCCGATAAGAGTGCGAGGCCTCTGAATGCTCCAGCCCAAACTATCGTGTACCCAGTGAAGCCATGGGCAAAAATTGCCATCGATATTATGGGTCGATTTGCCAATGTACCCCCGCAGAATCGAAACGTGTTAGTGGCTACATGTTTTTACAACAAATGGCCAGGGGATATTCTATGCGGGGACGTAACTACAGCCGTCATCAAAAAGTGGCTGCGTGGTTTGTTTGCAAGGTACGGTTTGCCAGAAGAAGATAACGGTCCACAATAACAAAGTAACGAGTATGCTGCGTACCAAAGGCGCAATGGTGTCAGGCACACGAGGACTGTTGCTTAGAATCCTTCAGCGAATGGATTCGTCGAACGACTTAATCGCACTTTGAAGGAATCACTACAAGTCCTTCGGCTTTCGGGAGAATCCTGGGATGATGCGCTGGGATCTGCATTGGATGTATTCAGAACCACACCACATACTGCAACGGCAACGACCGCCTCGGAGCTAATGCCAGGGTGAACAATTCGAACTCGAATAAATGCAGCCTTTACATTCGAAGAAACCGCCGATCACAAAGAATACGAGAGACGAGCTGTCTACTAGGCTAAATATAGACCAGTTGGAAGAACGTATCCTCTAGGGACATTTGTTCGTGTGATACTACCCTATTCCCGAAAAGGAGGTAATGTGTTCGGACTCCCGACCAGTGTGCAATCTGTGTGAACGACAGGAACCTATAAGTTGGCTGATGGGATAAAGGTGAATTCAAGACGGCTGCATACAGCGCTTACCCAACGTGCTATTGGGCAGACGAACACACCCACGACACAGCGTTCGGTACAAACTAATACAAACTTACGAAGTTGCGATCGGATACGCCGCCCTGTCTACCGATACGCTTTACCGGATAATACCACATCACAATTCTTCGGGGTGCTGACATTAAATTAGATCGTTCATGGACATGTAATGCTTTTACTTTTGGGAACAGAGGGGGGGACAATGTCGTTTTTAAATTATTTGCTTCGTTTTTGCCCTCGATTCGCTTATCCTACTCACATTTCTATTTAGCACTCGGTGGCCAATCATGTGCTCTTGCATTTGATTGGTTGCAATCCTAACCGCTATCGATGTAATTGTACTGCGCGTGTGCAGGTTGTTTTCCCTATACATACTGTAGAGGGGCCGCTTCCAAGAATGCTTCGGGGGAGCTCTTCGGAGCTAGCTGAGAGCGGATCGCGAAAGACGGCTGGCGACGAGCCTGGGCCCGGAACTACGGAGCGGGAATATGTGGACAGCGCAATAAATCAGACAAATACGCCGCTAACGCAGCCCACAGGACCGAGGCCGAGCCGATTGACACAGCCCAGAACAAGCAAGTCGAGAGCTCTTGAACGACTCCTGGCCGATCCAAATCGGGTGCAAGAACAGGCATGGATTTGAATATTGTTAATGTCTTGTGTTATAACATTGGGGCTTGAGGCAAAAACATGTACACTGTGCAACAATAATTATGCTGAAAATGTCTTTTGCGTATCCTATAGAATCATTAGCCGTATAGGTGGATTGCTATCGCCTGCGTAGGGACAAGAGCGTTGCACCAGTAAGTAAAGTACGAGTATCCGTTTGATATGAGTCGATAGCTGCGTGGGGATAGAGCACAGGGAGTTATAATGTTGGCAGTGATTATCAGATGCAGGAACATCACGTAGTTAGTGTAATCCTAGAGGGGGGCATAATAAGCGAAAATAAATAGGTTGCTGCGAGAGAGTCTTGTAGCTCAATTGGTGGCAGGGCAGCGGAGGGACTGGATGCAGATATTCTAAAGAAGTAAAGGTTATTGAGATACGGGGTGGCTACTAACACGCAGTGGATCATCTCATATGCATGGGGCCAATGGCCATTAGCTACTTCTGAAGAGAGCTGCCGAATTTAGGACGACCGACAGATGTTGGCGCTAGGAGTGATTCAGTCGCCGGATGCGGCTATTCTAATCAGACGCTTTGTCACTGGTGTATGCCTATAGGGTCGATGAGTGTATCTATAGGCCAGTGAAGGTAAGTGATAGGTCAACAGATCAGCTAAGCGGTGACGCAAACAATCCAAGAGAAAGAACATTGTAAGAAAGGAGCGACTCCTACGGAGCGCTGGATATCCGCAGAGTTAAATGGAAGCTACGGCGACTAGCTGCTGCTAAGCAGAGATAGTGGCTGTAGAAAACAATGAATCAGTGGCTGGTGCAGCCATAGTATTAAGACGTTTTTCCACTGTTGGATGCCTACAGTTTCGATGAAGAAGTCAACATGCGAGCGATGTTTAAGAGAGACATACGGCAGAAAAAATGAAGGCTGGAGAGTAAAGGAGTGCCTCCTTGCAAGCTACTTGGAGCCAACGATGCCTAGCTATTGCCAAGAAGAGTTGACCAGAGTAGGCTAACGGCGCGCTAGGAGTGAGATGAATGGCCAGCAGTGGAGTGAATAGTGGTTACTGGTGTATCCTACAGTGGCACATAATTTGTCAGCAAACCATCTTGGCTGTTACGCAAGCAATCCAAGAGAATGTATATTGTAAGAAAGGAGCGACTCCTACAGATCTCCGGATAACCGCAGAGTTAAATGGAAGCTATGGCAGCTAGCTGCTGCTAAGCAGAGATAGTGGCTTTAGAAAAAATGAGTCAGTGGCTGGTGCAGCCTTAGCTTTAAGACGTTTGCTCAATACTGGATACCTACAGTTTCGACGGAGGAATCAACATGCGAGCGAAGCTTAAAAGAGGCAGACGGCAAAAGAAAGTGAAGGTTGGAGAGTCAAGGTGTGGCTACTTGTAAGCTACATGGAGCCAACAATGACTAGATATTGCCAAGAAGAGTTGACCAGAGTAGGATAACAGCGTGCTAGGAGAGAGATCAGTGGCCAGCATTGGAGTTCGGATTAAGTCCTTGGTTACTAGTGGATCCCACGGTGGCACATAATAGGTCAACAAACCGTCTGAGCTGTGACGCAAACATACTAAGATAATGAACATTGTAAGAAGGGAGCGACTCCTATAGATCTCCGGATATATGCAGAGTTAAATGGAAGCTATGGCGACCAGCTGTTGCTAAGCAGAGATACTGACTATGGAAAGAAATGAATCAGTGGCTGGTGCAGCCATAGCATTAAGACGTTTGTCCAATATTGGATACCTACAGTTTTGATGAAGAAGGCAACATGCAGCAAGGTTTAGGAGAGGCAGACGGCAGAAGAAAATGAAGGCTGGAGAGTCAAGAAGTGGCTACTTAGAAGCTACATGGAGCCAACAATGACTAGCTGCTGTCAAGAGAAGTTGATGCGAGTGGTACGAACGACCCATAACGGCGCGCTAGGAGAGAGAATTGTGGCCAGCAATAGAGTATAGACTAAGCCTTCAGTTACTAGTGGATCCTACGGTGGCACATAATAGGTCAACAAACCAGCTGAGCTGTGATGCAAGCAATCCAAGTGAATGAACATTGTAAGAATGGTGCGACGCCTACAGAGCTCCGGATATCTGCAGTTAAATAGGATCTATGTCCGCTAGCTGTTGCTAAGCAGAGATAGTGGCTCTAGAAACGGATGAATCAGGGCTGGTGTAGCCATGTCATTAAGACGTTTGACCATTACTGGATACCTACAGTTTCGATGGAGAAATCAACACACGAGCCAAGCTTAAGAGAGACAAAGACCAAAAGAAAGTAAAGGTTTTAGAGTCAGGGAGTGCCTACTTGTAAGCTACATGGTAACCAACAATGACTAGCTGCTTGTCAAGTAGGAGTTGACTGGAGTAGGACGAACGACAAATATCGGCGCGCTAGGAGATAGGAGAGTGACCGGCGATAGAGTATAGGACTAAGCCTTCAGTTACTAGTGGATCATACGGTGGCACATAATAGGTCAACAAACCAGCTGAGCTGTGATGCAAGCAATCCAAGTGAATGAACGTTGTAAGCAAGGAGCTACTCCTACAGAGCTTCGGTTATCCGCAGAGTTAAGTGGGAGCTATGGCAGCTAACTGCTGCCAAGCAGAGGTATTGGTTCTGGAAAAGAGTGAACCAGTGGCTGGTATAGCCATGTCATTAAGACGTTTGCCCAATACTGGATACTACAGTTTCGACGGAGGAATCAACATGCGAGCGAAGCTTAAAAGAGGCAGACGGCAAAAGAAAGTGAAGGTTGGAGAGTCAAGGTGTGGCTACTTGTAAGCTACATGGAGCCAACAATGACTAGCTGCTGTCAAGAGGAGGTGATGAGAGTAAGATGAACGATGGATAACAGCGCGGTAGGAGAGAGATGTGGAGTCGGGAAGAGAATAGTGTGGGAAGGTAAGAAGAGGCTATTATAAGTGGTCTGGTCTATTTTCAAAAACGGTTCTTCGGGACAGTTTATATTCAGTAGTTTGGAAACTTGTGTGACAGAGAGGTATTTGCTAATAGAGA